ATCTTCTTAAGGCATTTGTATCTTCTCTCTTTAGTATTATTTCACTTGTATTTTTAGAGTGGAATAAAATATTGGTTGTATTCGAGGAAGTAGACAAAATTGGCCGAACCTCATAAATTCTGGTGTTCCTTTTATTGTTCCTTTATTGTCTTATTTATTATTTGGTAGCTGTCATAATTTTTGGTATAGTAGTTGTGACTCATTTACACTATATACATTTGGCTTCTGCAACAATTGGTATCAGAGCCAAGGTACTGTCTAAGTATGCTCTGTGGTTGCAGCATAGTCTGATCTTCCACATCAGAAAAGATTTATCTTGGTAACTGAGTCAAGGTTCTATCTGAGTATGCTTTGTGGTTGTAGCTTAGTCTGATCTTCCACACCAGAAAGGAAATAATCTTGATTTGTGTCGTGAGCTATTAAATAATATTTGTGTCAAAGATGGGAGATAATAAACAAGAAGAATCTACATCAAGTGTCAACAATACGTCATCATTGGCATCTTCGCTTATGACAAGAATTGTGTCAAATGCGAAATTTGCGGTAGAAATATTTGACGGGTCCGGACATTTTGGGATGTGGCAAGGCGAGGTTCTAGATGTCCTTTTTCAACAAGGGCTAGATCTGGCCATTGAAGAAAAGAAACCAGATGTTATTGGAGAAGAAGATTGGAGAATTATCAACCGTGTTGCTTGCGGTACCATTCGATCCTACCTTGCTAGAGAGCAGAAATATCCATACACAAAGGAAACTTCTGCAAGTAAATTATGGAAAGCACTTGAGGATAATATTTTGAAGAAAAACAGTCAAAATAAATTGTACATGAAGAAGTGACTGTTTCGCTTCACCTATGTTCCTGGTACCACGATGAATGAACATACCACCAGTTTCAATAAGTTAGTCACAGATTTGCAAAATATGGATGCAACTTTTGATGATGGTGACTTGGCCTTGATGTTGTTGGGGTCACTTCCTGATGAGTACGATCACCTTGAAACTACTCTACTCCATGGGAATGACGAAATTTCTCTCAGAGAAGTTGTTCGGCTTTGTAAAATTATGAACAAAGAAAGGGAGAAAAACAGAAGGGCGGAGAAGGAGAAGCACTAGTTGTGAGGGGTCGTCATCAAAACCAAACGAGGACAAAGAAGGGAAGATCCAAGTCAAGATCTAGACCCAACAAAGATGAATGTGCCTTTTGTCAAGAAAACGACACTGGAAGAAAGACTGTCCGAAGTTGAAGAATAAGGCCAAACATCACAATGGAAAGGCCATTACAGATTCAAATGTATCTGATTGTGATGATTCAGACTTCTCATTAGTTACAACAGAGCCATCAATATCATCAGACATATGGTTGATGGACTCGGCTTGTAGCTATCATATGTGTTCCAACAGGGACTGGTTCGTGGATTTTCAAGAAGGAGAATGTGGAGTCATCCACACAGCGAATAACAGCCCTCTTACATCATATGACATTGGTTCAATACGATTAAGGAACCATGATGGAATGATCATAACATTAACAGATGTTCGATATGTACCGGATTTGAAGAAAAATCTCATCTCTGTGGGAACCCTAGAATCAAAAGGGTTCAAAATCTTTGCAGAAAATGGAGTGATGAGAATATGCTCCGGTGCACTAGTGGTAATGAAGGCCAATCGAAAGAACAATAACATGTACCGCTATCGTGGTAGTACAATTATTGGGACATCGATAGTGACATCCAGTGATGACAAAGAGGCAGAAGCAGCCAGGCTATGGTACATGCACTTGGGACATGCTGGAGGAAAATCCTTGAAAACTCTATCAGATCAAGGATTGTTAAAGGGAGTAAAGGCTTGCAACTTGGAGTTTTGCGAGCATTGTGTCAAAGGGAAACAAACAAGGGTTAAATTTGGTATAGCGATCCATAATACTAAAGGCATTTTGGATCATGTACACTCTGATGTTTGAGGTCCTTCCAAAACACTTTCATTGGGTGTGAAACACTATTTTGTAACCTTTGCTAATATTTTTTCTGAAGAGTATGGGTGTATACAATGAAGAGAAAAGATGAAGTGTTGGGAATTTTTCTCAAATGGAAGACAATGGTGGAGAATCAAACAGGCAGGAAGATCAACTATATTCGCACAGACAATGGAGGTGAATACAAAAATGATCATTTTAATAAGGTTTGTGAAAATAATGGCATCGTCCGACACTTCACTGTCAGACATACACCACAATAGAATGAAGTGGCAGAACGTATGAACCGGACCTTGCTGGAGAAGGTACGGTGTATGTTGTCCAATGCTGGCTTGGGCAAAGAATTTTGGGTTGAGGAAGTTACATATGCATGTCACCTCATTAATCGTCTACCATCTGCTGCTATTGATGACAAGATACCATTTGAAAAATGGTATGGAAAGCCTGTTGTAGATTATGACTCTTTCCACGTGTTTGGCTCAACTGCATATTATCATGTGACAAAGTCAAAATTTGATCCAAGTGCAAAGAAGGCTATTTTTATGGGGATTACTTCTGGAGTCAAAGGCTATCGCTTATGGTGTCCTATGACAAATAAAGTAATATTCAGCAGGGATGTTACCTTTGATGAATCTGCTATGGTAAATAAGGTTACAGAAGATACTAAACAAAATGAGGGTGCTTCTAAGCAGGTGGAGTTTGAGAGAAAATTTATTTTTCCTACACAAGAAACAGAGGAGGAAACAAATGAAGATTATCCTCTGGAAGAAGAGACAATAGAGAGGTAGACTCCAACTCAGGAACCTCAACAACAACTTGAATCAATAGCAACTAACAGGCCAAAAAGGACAATAACAAAACTTGTTCGTCTCATAGAGACGGTTGCTTGTGCCGCCTCAATTGTAGCTGATGATGTTCCTATCACTTATAAAGACGTAGTCCAAAGTTCAGAAGAAGATAAGTGGAGGATTTTCATGAATGATGAAATACAGTCCATTCATCATAATCATACATGGAGATTGGTGAATCTCCCAAAGGGAAAGAAAACAATTGGGTGCAAATGGGTATTTGCAAAGAAAGAAGGATTTCCTAACCAGGAAGATGTTCGCTACAAAGCAAGATTGGTAGACAAAGCATACGCTCAAAAGGAGGGAATTGATTACAATGAAGTGTTTTCTCCAGTTGTAAAATATTCCTCCATTGGAATTATGTTGGCTTTGGTAGCACAGTTGGATTTGGAACTAGTTCAGATGGATGTAAAAACACTTAGAGGAGGAAATCTATATGACTCAGCCAGAAGGATTCAAAGTTGCTGGAAAGGAAAATATGATGTGCAAACTTGAAAAATCATTGTACGGACTGAAACAATCTTCTAGACAATGGTACAAACGATTTGACAAGTTTATGTTGCGGCAAGGGTATAAGAGAAGCAAGTACAATCATTGTGTGTATTTGCGCAAGCTTAAAAATGATTCCTTTATATATCTTCTCATAAATGTTGATGATATGTTGATAGCTTCCAAGAATTCGGAAGAAATTGATAAGTTGAAGATTCAACTGAAGAAGGAGTTCGAGATGAAGGATCTGGGTGAGGTAAAGAAAATTCTTGGCATGGAGATAATAAGAGATAGGCGTTCAAAGAAACTCTGTTTATCTCAAAAATAATATTTGAAAAGAGTACTACAATGTTTTGGCATAGATGAAAAGACGAAGTCAGTTAGTACTCCACTTGCTCTCCATTTTAAGCTAAGTACTACTATGTCGCCAAAAGATGAAGCTGAACGAGAGTATATGTCAAAGGTATCATACGCAAATGTTGTTGGTAGCTTGATGTATGCAATGGTCTGTACGAGACCTGACATTTCACAAGTTGTTGGAGTTATTAGCAGATATATGCATAATCCGGGAAAGGAGCATTGGAAAGCTGTGAAGTGGATTCTACGGTATATTCATAATACTGTAGATGTTGGGTTAGTTTTTGAGCAGGAAGACAATTAGTCTGTATTTGGATATTGTGACTTAGATTTTGCGAGTGATCTGGACAAACGAAGATCAACTACTAGTGATGTGTTTACTTTTGCAAAGGCACCAGTTAGTTGGAAGTCTACTTTGCAGTCAACAGTTGCTTTGTCTACAACAGAGGCAGAATATGGCTATTACAGAAGCTGTGAAGGAGGCAATTTGGCTTCAGGGATTGCTAAAAGAGCTTGGTATTTGACACAAAAGTATCACAATTTTTTGTGATAGTCAAAGTGTTGTTCAATTAGCGAAGAACCAAGTTTATCATGCTAGGAAGAAGCACATTGATGTTCGGTATCATTTCGTACGAGAAATCATAGAAGAAGGTGGAGTCACGGTGAAGAAAATTCATACTACAGAGAATCCTGTTGATATGCTGACAAAAATGGTGACTGCGGTCAAGTTTCAACATTGTTTGGATTTGATCAACATTGTTGAACACTGAAGATTGAAGATGAATACACAACCAAAATTTGTCATTAAGAGAAAATTGAAGATGTGAAATTTTGCCAAGGTGGAGATTTGTTGAGTGCCAAAAATTGTGCCACATCGGTAGGAGGACAAAAGTGGGTGGGAATTTTTTCCTATAAAAGGAGGCCTAATGTTTAGCATTTAAACACACCTCTCATTTGTCTTTTAATCTTCTTAAGGCATTTGTATCTTCTCTCTTTAGTATTATTTCATTTGTATTTTTGGAGTGGAATAAAATATTGGTTGTGTCCGAGGAAGTAGGCAAAATTGACCGAACCTCATAAATTATGATGTTCCTTTTATTGTTATTTTATTGTCTTATTTATTATTTGGTATAATAATTATGACTCATTCACGCTATTTACGTTTGAGTTCCGCTGCGGTCCCAGCTTTCCAATTTAGTGCAAAGGGGTGATGAGGTGCAACATGAGAATACACATTAGTCCACCACGTCGCTTTTAGCTGAAGTCTACATTAATATTCTTTTATACCCTTCCCTTCCTTCTGTCGTGTTATTACCTTGGCTTCATTCTCAGCAACTTTTTTTCCTTTCTTATTAAAAGTTAGTTGGGAATTGGGATAAACACTCAATTGTCACATTTTTCTTTATACCATTATTATTACAACATCATCATCTTCCTTCATTAATATTTTAGTATTAGTATATTATTGTTTTTTCAAAACATATTGACACTTTTTGAGAGACCAAAATATCATGAAGGCTGCGATTAGCAACAACGTTAATTACAAGAAGCAATTCTCTGTGGTTTTTATAAAGTTTGCTGTCTGTTTTCTGTTGATGGGTTTTGCTTATCGTTTATTCTTGTCCAGCTTTGTACAATTTTCCACTGTTGAGGTTTCTGATACAGCTTTTGTTTCCAACAAGACATCCAGTGATCTTACAATGGACAGAAGTACTTCACAAAATGGTTAGTTCAATCTTACCACTGTTATAAAATTTTGATTCTTGAAATATCCTTCTTCATTTTTCTCCTTAATTTTTTCTTTATATTTGGATTTGTTGCAAAAATGACGTGGGTGGGTTTATTTCATTTCTTTAGAGAAACTTGGTGCTTGATTTTCTGTTTGTTGGAGTTGAAAGAACAAGTCTTTCATCAAATCTGCTGTTTTGTGAGAAAAGCCCTTAAGAAAAGGGAAAAAAGGAATATTTATAGTAAAAGATGGATTACTGGGATAACCAACTGAACTTTTTCAGTTAATATTTCCTCTTTTTTTATTTAATTTTTAGCCACTCCCTTGGTCGGGTGAAAGTAAATTACTTGCTTGAACTCAATGCTTACATCTACCCAAGAAAATTTACCCCAACAGTTATAAATTAAAGTGAGCATAATTATCTATTAACCACAGTTAGGTGGTAAACGTATGCATGAAAGACACATTTCTAGCTATAGCGGAGCCAGGATTTTGATTAAGGGGAGTCAAAATTTTAAAGAAATAAATACGCGAATAAGTCAAGGAGGTTCAATACATGTATAAACGTAAAACAATAATTTTTACCTATCTGAACACCGTAAATTTTGGCGAAGGGTTGTCAACTGACACCCCTTGGAGCTATGTGGCGAAATTTCTTACATTCATCAGTTTGGTATAAATATTCCCATAAACAACGGTTACGACTAAGTTTCTTTATTTTTTGATCCAGCAGATTCTGGTTCTTGCAATTTTGAGAATAAGTACTTGATTATCATTTCTGACATAGTATGTGAATGCTAGTATAGTGAAACTTAGCATTTGGTACACATGAAGAAGGGAAGATTAGAATGAAAATCAAGATTGAATTGTGAGTTCGGTGAACGATTAAGTGGTGCTTGAGTTTGTTATTGATGGGATTTATGGATCCTTCACAAACTACGTTTTCATTTTGGGTTTTAAGATATATTCACAGACAGTGTATAAAATTAGTAATTCAATCAATTATAGCAGGTTGTTACAATATTTTACAAGTTAACGCTCCGAAGAGTTATTGACCTGATGATAGTCCACATTTTTGCAGGAAAATGCGATTTATTTAAAGGAGATTGGGTTCAAGATCCAACAGGTCCATTTTACACTAATCACACTTGTTATTCAATTGAAGCTCACCAAAATTGTATGAGAAATGGGAGGCCTGATACTGGCTATCTTTACAGGAGATGGAAACCCAAAGATTGTGAGATACCTAAATTCAATCCCAAGAAGTTCGTTCATATGATGCGGGGCAAATCGTTAGCCTTCGTTGGTGATTCAATTATGCGCAATCATGTACAGTCATTGCTTTGCATTCTCTCTCAGGTACATTCAATCTTGAACAGACAAGATTATCAGAGTAATACTTGAATTAGCTGCTATAAATTTACTTATGCGTTATTTGTTTGTTTATTTAGGCTAATTCTTAGTTTGGGGTGAGGCTGTAGTCAGAGGCAGATATAAGATCTAAACTTTATGGGTTCAGTCTTTAAGATTCTTAGCATTAAACTAGTTTGCTTTTAAAATTATGGATTCATAACGTAATACGTATTTGTTAAAATTTTAGAGGATTTTTACTATATATTCAAGCTTTGTGTCAAAAATACTGGTTTCAGATGAACCCATAGTTTATGAACTCCATCCGCCACTGGCTATCAGGGTTCTAGATTGCGTTTGTAAGGTTGTGGGCTTGACAGTAAGGGAAAGCTAAAACAGAGGGCAAAGAGGTTCTTGACCTATTAATTCCACTAGTTGATGAGAGTGCAAAGAATTTACCTAGCGAAAACATCGCTAGTAAATGTAAAAAAGCAAACCAGACTAGATGAACAAAATTTCAAATAAACAATGCAAAAAAACTCATTTGGCTGATCTCTAACTAGGTGAGAAGGAAAACTAACTCTTTAATGAAGGAAAATAGTACTAATTAGACTTTTAGTGACTAACTGACAACGTCGGTATAGGAAAAGAATGTGAGATATGAGATAGAAGTAGGGCAGTGCTAATTCTGCATCAACAGCTATTTTGGCTCCTTTCTTCAGAGAACATCAAATCGACCATTTTCATTTGCTTCGAGACAAACAAATCCCTCAAGAGGCTCAAAAGCTCACTATTGTATGAAGAAAGATTCCAGTGAAAAGGCATCTTCTGCTGTTTATACTAAGTTAAAGGTTAGATCTGCATAAGACATGGCTTTGATTGGAGTTAGCCCGACAAATGGACGAAAAAAATGTCATTCTTCAATGATGGTCAAGTCCAAAACTTGCTTGCTGGTGAAACTCATCATGACTTAGATGTTTTCTTTCAACTACTTATTAACATCAAAAATTGCTCTTATATGGTCAATATAGATCTCAATAAAAGTTGTTTCTCATTGTTAGGTTTATTCGATAAAATTTGTTGGACAGTCTTGTTTTATAAGCTGGTGTTGTATCTCTCAGCTCATAATATTGGGCCTTGCTTTGGAGATGGCTTACCTTCTCATATTGGCTCTCACTGCTTTAAAAAGTAATGTCACTCTCAGCTACACCAATATTGTCACTGAATACAGCTGGTAAAGTTTTTCCAGTTGAAACATTTCATTTCAAGTTGTATAATCAGTTCAAACTTATTGTCATGCCAAACTACTCCAACCATTCTAGTACAGCTCTAATTTTCATGTTCCATCACTTGTGGGGTGATGATGTCCTTTGACTAGGAAAAATGAGTAAGAAAGGGCAGCCCGGTGCACAAGGCATCTCGCGTTCATGCAGGGTCCGGGGAAGGCTGCACTCCATGTGATGTAAACAACATACCCTAATGCATGCATTAGTGGCTGCTTCCACGTCTCGAACCCGTGACTTAAAGGTCACATGGAGACAACTTTACCATTGCTCCAAGGCTCCTCTCAACCAAGAAAATTGAGTATTTTGGGTAGTGCTAATTCTGCATCTTTTTGAAAATGAGTATTTTTGCGACTCTGTTACTCACAGAAGCACTGTTGAGTATTTTTGGAAGTGGCTCTTCACTACATTTATTGTTTGCTTGCCTATCGTTCTGGCATATTCATTACTAGCTGGAATGCGTCAAGTTCTAGTTATGTTATATTGGGTCGTCTAGTACGTCAAAGAATTCAGTATCTGGATTCATGTTTACATTTCGTGCAGGAGGAACAAGGTGATGAGGTCTACCATGACAAGCAATACAAAAGCAGAAGATGGTATTTTCCCATTCATGACTTAACTCTTTCAGTAGTTTGGTCACCTTTTCTTGTAAAAGCCAGTATTTTCGAAGATAACAATGGAGTTTCAACCGATACAGCCCAGCTTCACCTTGACAAACTCGATGATGTTTGGACTCGACAATTTGACAATTTCGATTATGTAGTTATTGCTGGAGGGAAATGGTACCTGAAATCTGCAATTTACTACGAGAACAACAAGATTGTTGGCTGCCACAACTGTCCTGGTAAGAACATAACAGAAGTTGGATTCGAGTATGCATATCGCAAAGCACTGAATTCGACTCTGAAATACATCACAAGATCGAAGCACAAGGCGTATACTTTCTTTAGAACCGCAACACCGGATCACTTTGAGAACGGTGAATGGAACACCGGAGGTTATTGTAATAGAACAGATCCTTTCAAAGAAGGCGAGATTGACATTAGAGACATCGATGAGGTAATGCGTAAAATTGAGTTGGAAGAATTTGAGAGAGCTTTGAGAATAGGTTCTGAAGTTGGGTTGAGAATAAGGTTGTTTGACACCACTTTCCTTTCGTTGCTTCGGCCAGACGGTCACCCAGGAGTCTACAGGCAATTCCAGCCATTTGCAGGAGACAGTAGACACTCAAAAATTCAAAATGATTGTCTACATTGGTGCTTGCCTGGTCCAATAGATTCTTGGAATGATTTAATGATGGAAATTTTGGTCAGCAGTTGAAATGGGAATTGCATCATTCTTTTCTTTCCTCAGAGAACTGTTTTCATCTGCAATATTTTTACAAGCACAGGAAAAAGAATCTGAGATTGCGTTTAATCATTTTTGCTGCAGGCAAATATTGACGGCCACATTGCTGCACATAAATCAGAGTCTGGCACGATATTCCATTTCGTCATGTATAATATCCCCCTTCTCTTTGAGATTCATTGAAATAAATTGTAAAGTACGAGATTCCCTGTTATTTCTGCGTTTTTGATAACATACAGGCCATCATTTATCAATTTTCAAACATTTTGGCCTGTTCGTATGTTAAAAACTCAATTTTCAGAAGACCAGAATACCAGCAACGATGTCTTTACGCACTTGCTGCAACTATTCATCGCCTTAGCAGTTAGCTTCCCTCACTCAGATCTCTACCCTCGTTGACAGTATAAAGGCATTTCCACACTTAAAACATAACTCTGGAATTCGAGCCCTGAGAATGGGGTCCTCTTTGATAGGATACGCTAAATCCCCCACATAGTGGGCTTTCTATGGCGCGAATCTAGATCATTCGGATCAGGGTTCCGAACACTAGATGGTTAAACCAAAAAAAAAAAGGAAGAAAAAAACAGAGATGCCTAATTTTGGACTGCAACAGATATCCACTTCGTTCTTCTATAGTTCTTGTAAAGTTTCTATTGAAAGTTAAATACCGATTATGAAACTTGAACAATATCAACTTTATCTGGCCATATTCTAGGTTCTTTCAGATCCCTGACCTGAAAGCATCATAAAAACAGAGAAAATGTTCAATCACATCCTAATTTTATCTGGGCATATATGTAGACCTTCTCATATTCTATCCATAACCTGAATAATGCATCAAAATACTGGTGAAGTAGCGCCAACTTTTTGTTTGGGGCATTGATAAACTTAAACGAGTACACCAAAAGCGAGCAAAACATCAAATGCAGAACTTCACTTTTGCTAGCAGTTTTTGTTTTATTGGACTGAAATGTTATGACTGAGCAGAAACTTATGCAAGTTACAGATGATGAATCCAACAAGAGGAAACCTCAAACCAACAAATATGACACAGATCACTCTACTTGGTTGAAGCTGCTTTTTCTTGCTTCTTTGGATTTGGCTCAAGGAATGGGTCCTGCAAGTTAAATTTTGAATAAGATATAGCAGATAGAGAGAAGGATATCAAAATAACTAAACTACCTTTAAGACATAGGTATGCAGCAAGCCAACCATCAGATATGCATAGTTGCTCTCGAAAACTTATCAGCACCCAATAAAAAAATAGTTGAAGCAAAAGAAAGCACTGTAGACATGTATATAAATAAACATATATATCAATCAATCTACTATACTTCAATTCAGATTAGTTGAGGTTGGTTAAAAAGCTTTTTATTTATTTATTTGATAACCGAGAAATCCCTGTAGATTAGTGACGCACGGTTCGAAAATCGATAGATAATGTGCTCGCCCCACTACCCTTCTCCACTTAAATACGAGTCGTTCGTCTGTGACAGGGTTCGCGCCATGCCGTGCACTTAACCTACACATCGTGTGTTGTGTTCTTAACGCTGTACCAAACTCCTGGGGGCAAGGTAGGTTACATAAATCTTACGATCTATTCAGGTTCATTTTGTTCCAGTACTAGATAATATGTGTGTACATATACATATATNACCACCACCACCACCACCCACCCGGAGAAAGAAAAAAATCTTCACCTTCATTGGACTTCCAGCAGATTCAAGACAAATAAATTCCATGAGAATGGAGAAGCAGCAATATTTCATGAAAAAGGAGAGACATGATAACAAAGCCCTGCCCAAGAGTTAATTTTATATTTTTCTATTCTATGGCAGGTCTGGCTCTTTAAGACTAGGAGCCAGATTGTGAAGATATCTAGTTCATAAGCTAAAAAGAAAAATGAAGCTCAAAAGTTGGCAGCAAGTTTACAAACTCAAGTCGACTCAGAGCTTTCAGAAACAAATGAAAGAATGTAAAGCAAAGAGAGCAAGAAAAGGAGGCCAACATGAAGAAAGAGTGGTGTAAACTATAGCGATCACAACAAGGAAACGAAAGAGAAAGGAGAAGTGAAACTGAAATGAAGAAGGATAAACACACTCAGCATGGAGAACAGTAGAGCTATATATAGGGACTCAACATGCGAGAGAAGTATGAACTGCTGAAATCATGTACTTAACTTGGCAGAGGGGTCAAATTGTAAGTAAGAAAACTAACGTTACTTCAGAAATAACAACCTAACTTCTTTACTAAGTGAGCTCGTTTTCCTTTTTTCCAGAGCAGTTATTAAAAGCCATGAGACGAAATGATGCAAATCAAAGGGTCACAGTTTCATAGACAAAACCATGCTCTTCACATAAATGTGCCCTTCGAAGAACGGCGGACAAAGTGATTCCACTGAGAAACGGTCAATTCTTTGAATTTCCACTTTGAGAAGTTGGATATATATCACCATTATTCTAAATTGAATTTTGAAATTAGTTAATTGAATTGATATTTGATTGTCAAAGTACTAAATTTGCACTTCACTTTACGTCTCGCTTTTCAGTTCAAGCCCCATGAACTTTCTTTGCACCTTCCACCTTTACACTGTCCAGAGAAAAATCAAATTGCCATCATCTTAGATTGAGGCAGACCCTATAATCCATTTGATCAGTTCATATTACCTCTCTATT